CTCGGTTTTCCGGCAATGGCACCGCCGCCGGTTGCTTCTTCTCCGGCCGGCCATCGCCCCTCATCTAATCTGGTCCGTCCATATTGGATCGGATGGCCAGCAGTGGCCGGTACCCTTTCGCGGGGAATAATTGCTAAAGAGCCCCTGAGCTCTTTAGATTTTGAACCCTCTGTCCAAAGCGTATTCTAGAGAATTTGTTTTCTCTTTTGGAAAACGTATTTTTCATCTAACAGATTCAAAATCAAGTTCCATCTAATTACAGTTTTGCCATTGATTTCAAATGCTTATAAAATGCTCATTTTAACTCCGATTCGATCCGTTCAAATTGCGTTGGATTCGTAATCTCATGATCTACGTGTTAGTGTCCTTGTTAGCTCAGTTCTAGTTTTAAATTTCGAGTTCATGTTTAATGCATTAATAGTTTATAGGAAAACTTGGAAAATTCATATCTTGCTCGTTTTAGATCCAAATTCGGTGAATTTCGCGTCTATGTGATCGTAGTGACGAGTAGAATGTTTTTATACGCTTTTCAAATTGTTTTCTTGCTGGTGGTGTATTGTTCTAATTAAAGCCTTTGTTTGCTTCGTGTATGATTGCTCGGATGATTGTATGTTGCTGCTTGGTGTTGTTGATCGAGTTCAGACGGTGAGGTTTACGTTGGTGATCAAGAGAACTTCTACGACCAGCAAGACCAGCAAGATTTTCAGGAGAACCTTGATCAAGGCAAGTATAGCTAAGGACCTTCCTTGTCGTCCTATTCATGATGCTCACTAAAATACATATGCATGTGTCTTCCTTGCTACCTATGGTAGGATTTCCTAGATTTTGAATACTCAATTACCTTGTCACCTTGGGGAGGTTTGCATTGGGTAGTTCTATTGCTAGTGCAACAATCATGATCTTGAAACTTGATTAATGAATATGCTATAAACATAAACAAGATGACTTTTTTGCAACAGAAGGACTTGTCTTGTAACTGATTATCCAGGATTTAACGTACAGCTGTGAGGGCTATATGGCTCTGGCTCTAGTTGCTTGAGAAACCCTTTTCTAGCTGGTTAGACGTCTGCGAGTTGGGAATAGGACAGCCTCTGTCCTGTTGAGCCTAGCTATGGAAGCGGCCTTTTATATTATTGGAAGGGGGGTTTCTATATCTGATGCCCCTATGGCCCTGGCCGGTTAGATGAGCTCTTGGGTGGCTTTATATGGTTTCCGGTGTTTTGGGAGTAATTAACCCACTCATTTGGGAAACATGACTCATAGTGAAAGTGTACACCTCTACGCAGAGTTAACAAACTGGTATACTAGCCGTGCTCATGGATACGAGCGACCTTGGAACACTTACATTAAGGGATGATGACTTTTACTTGTTAAGATGATCATTTATGTTAATTGTTTAAGATATTGATTATTCATGTTCATTGATCATGTGCTATGGGATTATTGCTACCTTGATGTTAATAAATGCTAAACTTGATGATGACTTAAATGCTAACCGCGGTAAACCAGTGTCAGCTATTTGAGCCTCATGAACCCTTAGTTATCTTGTTAAGTATGACATGTACTTATGCCTTGCTTTATCTTTTATGTTGGAAAAATCCCGGATGGGTAACAGATCCAGATTGGATTGAAGATTACCGTGATGAGTATTAGGCTTGGTGTCCACCAGTTGACGTCCCTGTTGGAGCTTCCGCAAGAGAGTTATCTTAGCAGCTATTATATCTATGTTTGAGACTATCACTACAAGAGGTTAGGCCTTCTATGACTAATTGATTGTGACAATTATAGTCTTTTTCTTGTCATTGTACCCCTTCTATGACACAACAGTGACGATATAGCTGTGGTCCTAGAAGGTGGGTCATAATCCCCCTTCTGTGACAATTGCACGTTTGTCATCAGGCTGTGACGACGGTATTTGTCACTATATTTGTCATAACATATTTGACGGGACGTTGACAAGTGTCCAGTGATATCACGTGGCACCTGACGTGGCGCGCGACGTGGCACAGACAGTATGACGAAAATGAATTGTCATAAAAACGAATTTAGCCCAGTTGGCCCATATAGCATGGGCTGGTTTTTACAATTATAATTCGAATAAGCCCAATTGGCCCATATGCAGGCCGATGGGAGAAGGGGCTTACCTCACCGAGCCCCAAAGATGCGTAGCGACGGTGTTCTCGCCTGTGCTGCCCCGTGCTCCACCGCCATCTGTTGAGAGCCGATTTAGAGGAGAGAGGGGGAAGAATTTGGGGGAGATGGAGAGAGTTCGTCGGGTGAAAGCATAAGGGAATTTTTTTACTCGCGCGGGGCGCGCCTCCATCCACGCCATTCTTTTCGGCACCTCTCTCTAACACATGGGACATGCCAAGGCTCAGAGCGCGTGGGTCTGGTTTTTCGCGGGCGCGTAGAGCGTCCCCGGCGGTGCAGATATTTTCCGCTTTGTTTTCACAACAGACATCATGGGAGGAGTAGCGCCCATGACGGGAGGTTCAGGACCGAGGGGAATACTCCATGCTGCAGGGAAACAATTTGTTTAGAGGCCGACCGCCCTGGCCCGCAGAGGGGGTCTTGGTAGAAGATATGGGCAAAAAGTACATTTGTCCCACCTTCTCTCTCCAAAACAGAGAAATGAATAAATAATCTGTGCGTTGTATTACGGCAAAGAACTGTAATTTTATAATGGTACTCAATAAATTTCAACATTGTTGGTGTGCCAGTGTGAAGTGGCAAATATAATGGTTCTTCGATGTCCCATAGCAATATTATTTGTCTTATATTTCCAACAGCAGTAATGATCCTGACGTCGACCAATGGGCTACATGTAACATTCGGTTTGTGACAACCGGACCCAGTACAGCCATTTCCTAATGAGCTCATGAGTTGGAGTGTCCGTGCAGCCCTCCGGCCTGTCTAGGCAGTCCCATTTCCAGGCCCATGTGGCCCCAAGAATACAAGCCCATGATTTGGTTGAGCAGTATAATAGAACTTTCGGAACCGAACTTGTTTTCCATGGGCAAAATAATGTGGCCGACAGCGGATCGAACAAGAAAAAAACTTCATATATATGTATTACAATTTTCAAACACAATACATTCATGTCCCTCTTCTTTCCAAATTGATTGATTTAATCAGAGTACTATGTTTTGTATGTGACAACATTAATAGGAAGAGAAACCGAGTGGGAGTTGGGTACGGTATTATTCTGCAACGACATCTCCAAATATAACCTTGGATATGTGATTATCAACAGTTTCAGGTGAGCAGTGAGCGACGTAGTAGTAGCTCTTTACCACGTGAATGTCTGCCTGGTCATCCAGCTGATAGAGCTGCAGCTCTCAAGAACGCACTGAGCCAGTTCCTGCATCTCCAGCTCAACTTCTTCCACGTCTATATTCTTCCGAACACTTTCCATATTTTTTCCATTCTGATCATTGCCCTTCAGTTGCATTATTGTTCGTAAATCGGTAAGCAGCATACATTAAGAAAAAAAAGAACCATCGGTAATTTCAGGATGATTGAAGCAAGCACATACCTGAGCACGAACTGTAGAGGCCAGCTTGGAGCCGATGGAAAAGTTGAGCCTCTCCAGCTGGGAATACTCCAGGCTGTTCACGTTCTGCTCCTCCATCAAATTGTGCCTTCCTGAACAGATCTTTACTGTACGAACTAGCAGCAATGCTGTGCTCCCTTCACATGTTTCCTGTGCCTCCTTTGCAGATCTTGCCATGAGCCACTGCTTCCACTGCAATCACAAGAACTTATATTGAGTCGTCACCATTTCAATTTATCAGTAACAATTGAACATTATGATGTTAAAAAAATTAGTGAAAAGATAACAACAGTGAGTCAGTGACATATATAGATAAATCTGTTGCATCTTACAGCTTCATGAAGACTGCACGAAGCATTGCCAGAAGAAGAAAGGTCGATAAGGTCATGTAGTGCATATAGGAGGGCTTTCTCTATTGGATCCTCTTGTCCACTGCATCTTGATAGATACGCCTAGTGCTCGGCAGCACTTGTATCTTTTTTTTTTTTGTAATTTACTTTTTAGGATTCTAAGCCTTGTAATAGTAATATGCTTAGCATCCACTTTAGTGGTTAGAATATGCTAGAGCAGGTGAGGAGGAGGGCAGCCGGCTGCTTTTATAAAAGCAGTAGCAGACCATCTTATAAGACAAGCCAAGTCCTTTGCATTTCAATTCCAACAAGTGGCCTATGGCCAAGCTGCCCTCTGGGCTTTCCCCAATCTGAATCTGAGATTCATTAGAGCTAACAATTGGTATCGGAGCCTTTAAGGTTCTTTGGGGCTTTGGAGAGCAGCCATGTCCACCAGCAGCGAGAGGGCTAGGCGCGCCTCAGCCGCCGTAGAGGTGATTATCCCCGGAGGCACGGTGCAGGGAGCTCCAGCCCACAACCGCGCTGCGCTGCTTGCTTTGCAGCCAGCAGAGGCAACGGCTGCGTAGGTAGTCGCGGGCGGCCACGCGCGGCAGCGGCAAGCGCTAAAGCTGCGGCGCCACCGCTGCCGCGTTGCGGGAAGAGAGGCGCCGCCGGGTCTCGCCTTTGCCGGAGCGGCGTCGAGGGCGCTGCGGCTGCTCACCGGTTGTGCAGATGGTCTACCGCGACTCTGGAGCGGGGACGCCATCGCCGATGCTCACGAAGACCAACTACCACAAGTGGAGCTTGCTCATGAAGGTCAAGATGCAGTAGCGATAGCTCCGGGGCGCTTGATCGAGTTCGGTGATGCCAAGTTCCACAACGATCGGTTGGCGCTGGAGGCATTGTGCGCCACCGTGCCGATGGAGATCGGCGCTTCCCTCACCAACAAGGCTATGACAAAGGAGGCTTGGGACTCCATCGCCATCACACGGCCTCGGCGGCCACCGCATCTACTGTGCGGCCGCTGGTGGCTCCGTTAGGAGTGGGATGGCCTCGCCTTTAACCCCGGTGAGCAAGTCGAAGACTTTGCCTTTTGCCTTTCTAGCCTGAAGGAGCAGATGGCGCACAACGGCGACACTAATATCACCGACGCTCACGCGGTGGAGAAGCTCCTGCGTTGCATCCCCAAGAAGTACTCCCAGATCATGCTGGCGATCGAGACGCTTCTCGATTTTGTGGAGCCCTCCATCAAGGAGGTCATCGGGAAGCTGAAGGCCATGCAAAATTGTGAGGTGGCGCCTCACACCAAGTCGAGCGCTGCTCGAGGCAAGCTGCTCTACACCGTCGAGCAGTGGTGGGCCTTCTAGAAGAAGAAGAAGGACGAGGCTTCTACCTCTGGTCCGCCCAGGGAGTGTCACCGGCGACCACGCGGCAGCAAGAAGAAGGAGGACAAGGGACCCCGGGGGAACAGTGGTGCCGATGGCGGCGCCACCGGCGAGTGCAAGGCGACCTGGAATGATACCTACCTCAACTACGGCAAGATAGGCCATTGGGCCAAGGACTACCGCCTTCCTCCATGCCACGGCGGGCAAGCCCACATCGCGCAAGCAGAGGAGTAAGATCTTGCTCTGTTCTTGGTGCACGGGTGCGTTGAGCTGCAGCAAGAAATAGGGGAGGAGGAGAAAGGTTCAAGCTTTCCCCTCGCCGCATCGATCGGCTCTGCCCTGCTCCACCTTGACGAGCCACGTGCCCACGCCTTCCTCGGCACCGGTACCGGCGATGACAAGATCGATGGCTAGTACCTCGACACCGGCGCCACCCACCACATGACTGGTCGGCATGAGTTCTTCTCCAACTTGGACTCTGGCATGCGAGCCTCCATCAAGTTCGGGGATGCCTTCGCCGTGGGGATCAAGGGCGTCGGCTCCATTGTCTTCTCCACCAAGACTGACGAGCATCGGTTGCTCACCGGTGTCTACAACATCCCCGCATCGAGGAACTCCATCATCAGCTTAGGACAGCTGGATGAGAATGGCTTGTGCGTGGAGATCAAGCACGGGGTACTACATATCTGGGATCGCCGTCGCTGACTTCTCGCTAAGGTGAACAGAGGTGACAATCGCCTTTATGTTCTGCATGTGCAGGTGGTGCAGCCCATGTGCCTTGCAGCCCGCCGTGATGATGACGCCTAGCGTTGGCACGATCGCTTTGGGCACCTCAATTCCGAGGCCCTGAAACAGCTCTGCAACAAGGAGATGGTGTGGGGCATGCCGCGAGTCGAGCATGTGGAGGAGTTCTGCGACACCTGCGTCCTCACCAAGCAGTGGCGGCTCCCGTTCCCCTGCCAGGCGAGCTTCCGCGCCAAGGAGAAGCTGGAGCTTGTACACGGCGACCTCTGCGGCCCCATGACACCGGCTACACCTGGAGGTCGGCACTACTTCCTCCTCCTTGTCGATGATGTGTCCCACTACATGTGGGCAGTCCTGCTCGACACCAAGGTGGCAGCTGCGGACGCCATCAAGCGCCATCAAGCTGTTGTGGAGGAGTGCGGCCGCAAGCTTCGGGTGTTGTGCATGGACAACAACGGCGAGTTCATGGTGGCGGAGTTCGTGGTGTACTGCGCCGACAAGGGGGTTCAAGGCCACTACTCTGCGGCCTACTCACCGCAGCAGAACGGTGTCGTCGAGTGCCGCAACCAGACAGTGGTGGTCACCACCCGTGCCCTCCTCAAGCAGCGGGGCATGCCGACGATCTACTGGGGCAAGGCTGTGATGACCGCCATGCACTTGCTAAACTGCTCTCTGACCAAGGCTCTCTATGGCAAGACACCGTATGAGGTCTGGCATGGACGCAAGCTGGCGGTTAGCTATCTACGGGTCTTTGGCTGCCTGGCATTCGTCAAGGAGCTCAACCACGTCAGTAGGCTCAACAATCGTAGTTCACTTGGAGTCTTCATCGGCTATGCTGAAGGGGGTAGGGCCTATCGCGTACTCGACCCGGTGACGCAGCGTGTGTAGGTGACGCGCGATGTTCTGTTCGACGAAGGCCACGGCTGGGCGTGGGATAAGGCGCCGGATGATGGATCGACGGTAGCTCTGCGCGACTTCAACATCAAGTACAAATGGGCTGGAGGACCAGCGCCGACCACTTCACCAGCTTTGCCGACCACTTCACTGGTCTCACCGACCACATCAACAGCTCCGTCGCACTCGCCTTCACCAAATCCGAGGGAGCTCAGAAGCTCATCGGCGGCAGTCGGAAGCTGGTCGGCAACCTTGCCGACCACATCGGCAACCTAGCCGACCACTCCTACACCCTAGCCAACCTCACCACCTCCATCCCCAACTGCGGCATCCTCTGCTTCGCTCGCCGCGACACCAGCGCACACAGGGCAACCGAAGATCGAATATGCAACGCCGCTAGAGGATGATGAAGACCGCCTGGATGCCTACTATGACGATGAGCCACTCCGGTACCGCACGGTGATGAACATCATTGGCGACCAGTCTCCGTCAGGCCAGGCAGAGCGGCTCTTCGCCCAACTTCATCTGACGCACGCAGTTGAGCTGACCAGTTATGCTGAGGCGCAAGGTGATCCGGCGTGGTGGGCTGCGATGGAGTAGGAGCTCAAGTCTGTCGAGCAGAACCGCACCTAGGAGTTGGTGCCACTGCTCGGCGGCCACCACCCCATCACTCTCAAATGGGTGTTCAAGCTCAACAAGGATGAGCAGGGCGCAATGATCAAACATAAGGCGCGGCTGGTGGCGCGCGGCTTCGTCCAGCAAGAGGGGATCGACTACAATGATGCCTTCGCCCTTGTGGCACGCATGGAGTCAGTCCGTGTCCTCCTCGCTCCGGCTGCTTAGGAGGCGTGGCAGATCCACCACATGGACGTCAAGTCCGCCTTCCTCAACGGAGTAACACCCTGTGTTTTGCATCATATTAAAATTCACTAAAAATTTGAACTTTTTAAATTTTACACCAAACTAAAATTTGGTTAGCTAAATACTACAAAACCCTTTTTGAAAATCTTCCAAAAACCTTGCATCAAAACACATCATGTGCACCTAGGTTGAAATGGTTGGATTGTGTGATTGGATGATTGTTTGCCCTAGGATTTATTTTGTCACCAAGGAAATTCTCCTTGATCTCTTCTCCGAAACTCCTTGATCTTTACTTGGAAACCATCCTTGATCAATCCCTTAGATAACTCCTTGGAAACTCCCCTTGAATTACCACAATCCTCCCTGACATTTCATAAACCCCAACCTTCCAAATCCCCTTTGAATTCAAACTAGAATCCATTCAAATCAATTTGGGATTTATTCTGGGAAATAGGAAAACAATTCTCTATTTGGAAATGGCACTCGGGCCCAATCTCCCCCTCTCCTCCTCTCTGGCCCGCGAGGCAGCTTTCCTCCTCCGCCGACTTGGGTCACCACGGGCCTCGCAGCGTGCGCGCACCCGCCTACCCCCTCCGCTTGGGCCGGCACGCACCTTGGCCCAGCACCGATGCGCCCGCTCCCGTTCCTTTCTCCCTCCCTCGCTGATGCTGCGGCCCCGCCTGTCATCACCGTCGTCTACACGACGACGACATCGCGAACAGCCGCCTCAAGCTCACTGCTGCATGCCACCGCCCCGCCAACGGTCGAGCAGATAGGGACACGCCGCGGACCCCACGAAGCTTCGCGACCCTGCTTCCCCTTCTCTCTCCCTGCCACGCGGCCGCGCACAGTTACATGACCGTTGCCGCCGCCATGGCCACGCTCCTCCTCCGGCCGAGACTGGATAGGCTCGAGCTGTAGCAGCAGAGTACGGGCACGTGCGAATATGAGGAATCCAAGGCGGCGGAGAGAAATATCTGGCTGACAGTGAAAATATCGGCCGACGGCGGAACCGACTTCGCCAGCTATAAATAGGCCCCGCTAGAGCCCCTTCGCTCCAACCATCTCCACCGCAAGCTCCGCTTAGAGTAGCGACACACCATCTCCCTCCAAGTTCTTCTCCTCCCTTCTTCTGAGCTGTAGCTCGGTTCTCCCCAAATCGGAGCGCCGCGTCTGCCATGGGAGCGAGCTCGGAGCTCTTCCTCTCCGGCGCGACTTAGGTCAATAGAGTCAGTCGCCAAGCTCCTTGACACCTCCACTACCTCCGCCGCCGGCTGTTGGCTCATCATTTGCTCTGTAACGCTCTGCCAACGGGAGCGGAACGCCGTCGAGCCACTGTTGCTCGCGTCCGTTGCTGGCAAGGCCCGGCCGGGTTCTGCAACCCCTGCTATGCGACCACTGGTGCACCGCAACCACACACCACCCTCCTCGGGCGTTAAAACGCTCCGAAGGGGCACCAGCTCCTCACCACGCCGTCTCGACGCCGTTTCCCCTATGTCACCCCTCCCTCTGTCCCATGGGCCCGAGCCACAACGGCGTTCGCGCCGTAAGCCAAGGAGCCGGAGGAGCTAGCCCACATGTCGGTGAGACATGACACCGACACGGTGACCCCACGTGGCAGTCACAGCCGTCCTCTCTCCTCCCTCCTACTCCCTCTGTGAACTGGGTTCACTTGAACCTTGAGAGAGGGGTAGCGAGTCCACGGCATAGTCCACACCCGGCTCACAGCACAGTACTAGCAGCTGACCCCGCCCGCGCTAGCCCCGCCGTCAGTCGCACAGTGAAGGGGGAAATTGCTAGGTACACCCGAGAGATGTACACAAAGATTTTAAAAAGCTCTTTCCAGGCATGGAAAAATTCCCAGAAAATTCCAAAAAAAACTAGGTACACCCAAGAACATACCCAAGCATTTCCATCCCATTTCCATTACCCTATATCCTAGAAATATTTTCCAAAGTATATTCCAATTACTTTTTCCTATTAAACTTTGGAAAACAATATCTCCCTCATCCTAAATCCAAACCCCATGATTCCACCACCAAAAAACTTCTAAAATCAAGCTCTATCCATCCATATCCACCACCCTATTATTTGGTGCCCATTTAAATTCTAGTTTGTTTTGTTTTCTTTTTCTATTTAAAATAACGTTAGTAATAATAGTACCCGTAGGCATATAATGGTGTAAATATAAGTTCCATACATGCTCAACATACCTCCACCCTCTCACATAAGATAATACGGTGAATACATACACAGTTGTACCTTGAGTATACGATACAAAAAACACATAGGTATAACTAAATGCTATATATATAGGGGAGTATATTCAGTAGCCAGCTACAAAATAAGTTATTCTGTAGCCACCTCCTTTTACGATAATTTTATATACTAATTTACGATAATGTCAATACATATTTACGATAGTTGGGTTACTATATCATATGGAAATATTTACCATAACGTTACAGTAAACCACTTAGTAT